CTCTAAAACCCATATTTAGAAGATATTTCGAGTTAATATTTATGAGAAGTGTTGCAGACAAAGAATTTGAATTGTTCGGATAAAACCCTAAAAAAATTCAATATTTTTCAAAGTTTAAGCTAAATAGACTAAAATAAGTCGCTGTTTGGACTAATATTGAAGCCAGTCCACATGCTACTGTATTTATAAATTTTCTAATTATCTAAGTAGATAATTTTTAGAGGGATAATGAGAAAAATTGAGGTTTGAACCTCACTAGTAGGAACAAGCTTCCAAAATTTCAATCCCTAACTTCTTTTAATCAATAATAATAATAAATCGCTACCACTTTTCTCCTTTGATTTTCTGACTCAGTGCGAAATTAGGAATTTAAGCGAAAACATTAAAAACTTGAAATTTAGGATCCACCAAATTGTGAAGGAATAAACTCACAAATTTTTATTAATGAAAAGATGAACAAAACAACAAAATAACCCTTTAATTATAAGGATTTACATGAAACCTAGTTTAAGATAACTAAAATAAATGAAAATAAATTTTAATCAAACTAAAATTGAAAACAATCCAAAATAAACTAAATGACAAAAATAACGCCAAAAATTTAAAAATTATGATATTATGAGCCCAAATCGAAATTCGAATGCTCTCTCCGCACCATTACCTTTTTCCCATCCTGATTCAATTCTTCTTCCATTTATTCAACAATATATTCTACATTTTTAATTCACAAAGCACTCGCTCATCTTGCATTTAAAGAACGCTATGTTCTTTAGAAGACGAAAGTATCCATAGGGACACGAGGATTCACAATTAAGATCTCAAAGTAATAATAATAATATCTAAAATTCTCAGACAAGCTTATTCAAAAAATTGTTTGCAACTTAAGTGGTATGATTGAATGGATATTTCTATTTTTGGATTTGTGTGGAAATGATGGACGCATATCTTACTTGTTATATTTATTACACATGTATAATGTTTTTTAAATGTTGCAAGGTAAGGATCATGTACAATTGATCGATGGTTAGACGACACTCAAATTTATGCAAATAGAGCATGTTAACATGGAAAGTTATGATCTCTAGTGCTTTGTCATGAATAACCAAATTGTCATTTTTTCATTTTTCCGGACATTGCAACTTTTATCAAGACCATATCATCAAAAGATTTAATTACTCAGAGAACATGATAATCAGACGCTTATCTCCACAACAATCCCCACTTTATTTTGAGCACTGAACTCAAGATACAATCTCACAAGACATTTGAGTTGGAAAATAGAAGTAAAATGAAAACATGCCTATGCCTTAGTGGCTATGTATGCACACCACAACACAATCTGTTACGATGCCAAGCATCGCCATTAACGTCGTACCAAGCTCGACTTTTAACCATCTTTCCTTTATTATTTAATCTTGTCATTTTATGCTGAAAAATGGCTTCCTATTAGGATTGAATCGTTATGAAATTATTCATAATGCTTTTTGCAATTCTCGTGACATTACAACATTTATCACATCAATATCAACAACTTCGAACCAACAATATTTTTTATTCGAAAACCAACAAGACATGCTTAACTACACCGCAAAAGAAAATATTTAAAAATTGAATTTCCCAATCTATTCTAGTAACATTTTATTATCATTTATGGGCAAATACTCAACATAACATTATATACACTTAGGGATGGCAAATGAGCCCATCGGTTTGAGTGGCTAGCGGCTTGGCCTTGAAAAACTCGAGTCAATTCACCTTGAAGTTTAGTAGAATTGGCTCGAACCAAGCCAAATTTCAGGACTTAGCTTGAGCTTGGCGCGGCTCATGAAAGTACCCTGTATCCCAGTCTAGCTCGTTGTCAACCTTCTTTCTTTTATTTTATTAATATTTAATTTAAATTTTTAATCAATAAAGTGAGACTTATATATAAATATACTTACGCAATTAATATTTATAATTATGCTACAACTATTTATGTTTATTATTTATTATCATATTCATTAGTGTTCCCGTTATATTTTATTGATATACATTTTAAAATTTATTAAATATGAGTTAATATAATATTATTTGTTATTTTGTGGTGTTGAAACTTAAAGAATATTCTCTATTTCAATATTTTTAATTTTATAAGTGAATATAGAAATAATTATACATTTGAAAATTATACTCCAATTCATATATTATCGTATCTATATGAATAACTTTTCTTATTGTATTTTAGTTGAGAATTAGAACTTGTTTGACTTCTTAATATAATATTTCATGAATTTTAAAAAGAATTTAAAAAATCGTGAATTGGTTCGCTTCACTTGGTGAAACCCGAGCCAAGCCTCCAAATTTCAGTTGAGCTTGTGCTCGGCTCGGCCAGAACTAAAAAGTTCGAGCTTTTTTTTAATTGGGGCCGTGCATGAGCCTCGAGTTTCGGCTCGCAAACTAGCTCGGCCGCTCATTCACACCCCTATATACGTCCCTTTATTTGGGATTAACTATTTTACAGGCTAAAAAAGCTTTAAAATTTGCGAACTAAGCGCAAACACATATATAATCGTTAAATAACGTACGTAACTGGAAAGTAATCATAGTTAAAAACAAACACATAATTAAAACAGAATATATAACAAAAATATGAATATCAAAAGCAAAAATTACTCAATGTAGATGTCATTCACTTCATTTGTAGTGACCGATGTAGTAAAACAAGCGAAAATGAGCATTTAAGCTAGGTTGCTTGAGAATATAATATGAATTAAATCATACTCAAGAAACAATAATCGTGTGTATACTTACTCTATTAAAACAACTATATAAAAACAAAATTTCAAAATTTAATCTAAATTTCAAAACCTTGGTTCTTTACCTATTTTGGGAAGTCTCCGTTAGAGTCGAGAGATGGGGACACTCGCTCCTCGAGGCCACCATGAATTATAGATGTGAGAGATTCAACCTTTTGTTAAAGAAAAAAATAAAATAAAAATTCAAAAACCTAAGAGAGAGACATGTTCTTCGGACCTTCCTGGCCTTCGTTCTTTACGTCAAACCGCTAATTGGATATAGAAATCATGAATGATATAGGGAAGACCACATAACTCATAGTTTTAAAGATCACATTTCATAAATAACAAACTCAATCAAATATTTCAAAAACGGGTGGTAAGTAAATTTATTAAATATTAAATTATAATATAATATTTATTAATTATTTCCACCCATGCCATCCACCTCATCCTATCACCCCATTGCACCATCTTTCCTCCACCCCTCCACTAGAGATGGCTATAATCTCCGACGACCACTCCGGCGATCATTCCTATGGCCACTTCGGCAACTATCCGATGATCACCTCGGCAAACTGCTTCGACGATCACTCCAGCAAACTGTTCCAATGACCACTCCAGTGCCTACTCTTGTAACTATTCCAGGCACTGCTCCGGCTCGCCAATAGAAAAATCTCCAAATTTTGAAAACAATTTCTCTCTCTACACTCAATTGTTGAAAAATCTCAAAAAAACTGAGGTGGTCATAATGGTGTGTTGTAAGTGTTGCACCTGTGACATCTGTGGTCATACCTGTGTCACATGTAACTAATTGTGACCAAATTTGCATTTAGTGTGACTATACCAATCTCAAGTCACGATCAATATAAAATTGGTCACAATCAATACAAAGTTGATCACAAACAGTTACAACAAACACATACTTAGTCGTATATGGTCACCACAAATAAATTTGCACACACCGCATACATGTGATTAACCGTGACCAATTTTACATTTGGTGTAACTAACTGTGATCAAAATTATATTCAGAGTGACTATCTGTGATCAAATCAATATCAAGTCACAACCTACCATCACTACCAAAGAACAACAGATCAGAAAATCATCGAACCTCCAATACCACCATGAGCACCACTGCATCTATACCACTGTCTCCCACAATTACCATCACCACAACACTCAAAAAACGCATAGCACCACTGAACAAAGCACTCACAGCACACCACAACCATCTTCTCTATCTCCACCTACACCAAACCACCACTGACACGACACCACCAAAAAAATCCATAAACCCATTGCCGCCGCCACAGCACACTACTACGGCTAGCACCTCAAAAACCATAACAAAAAAATGCAGCAAAATCACCACAAAAACCACAGAAAATCACCAAAGAAACTTTTGTTGGGGATTGCAACGCCGCAAAAACCTCGACAGCGACGAATCAGAGGAAATTTCAAATCCACTAAGCCCACGAACGTTGAGTAAGTGTGACGGTTGGGGGTGAGATGGGTGAGTGGGTATAGCGAGCACCACTGAGCCCTTGGACTTTGCTTCGCCGCGCGCGGTGGACACGATCGACGGTAGTGTCATGCCAGAGGTTCATTGAACGAGTCCAACATCAGAGGAGCATCGAAAGCCTCACAGCGCATTGCGTGTCGGCGTAGTGGCTCTCACATTGCCGTCGAGTTGGGTGGCTGCCGGAGTAGAGTGGTGATAGATATACAAAATGTACATAGAGAGAGAGAGAGAGAGAGAGAGAGAGAGAGAGAGAGAGATGCAGTGTCGGTGTGGGTAAATGTTAGAGATTGGATGTGTTGTATTATTAGTGTAATATTAGTTTAATATACAAATAATAATGTGTAATTAATACCTGAGAATTGAAAGTTAAACTTAAACCACTTCTCTTTGAAAACTGATATTTAATTTCAGGTTTACACGTAATTTTGCCAATGATATATACAAGAGACTCAGCCTTTTTTCTTTTTGTTTTGAAATTAAATTAAAAATTATGCAATTCTTTATTAGCTTATCTTTTTATTCTATATTAAGAATGATGCAAACCTTTATTAGCTAATCTTTTTATTTTATATTAAATGATTTCTTATTAGCATATTATGATAATTATTGGATTTTCTACCATTATTAGTCGGAGTGAATGCTCTTTGACCTTTGCGACGTCCTTGCATTCGAAACCAGAAAATCTCAAACCCGTGACATAACCCGAGACTGAAACCATATTCGAACGCGAATCGGTTCAACCCATCATAAAAAAGGCGACCCTTCTCTTCGCCCCGTCCCCCATCGCTCTATTCTACTCGTTTTCTCTTTCCCCGTACACTCGTCTCTCCCTCTATCTCTCTCTCTCTATCTCTCGGTTTATATTCAGATCCCTTTCTCGATCAAATCATCCACTGCAAGTCCTTACACCTCTAATTTCAATTTCCTACCTAGATCCCTTTTTTTTGTCGGAAAAAGAGAGACCGATTTTTCATTGGAATTTTTTTGTTGATTTAAGTTCAGTTGCCTCTCGTGAGTGTTCTTTTTTCTTTAATTGGATTTTGGTACGTCTAAAATTTGAGTTTGTCACAACGGAGCTCAAATTTATAATATATCTGGATTGATTTAATTTGGTTTATTAGATTGATTAAAAAATTGATTCTATTAGTATTTATTATTTGAGAGTCGGGTGATTTCAATTGTTAAAATGTGCGTGAAATTTTTTGGTCCTGGATTATTAGTTTTAAGGATTTGACTTTGGATTGGATTGGATTCGATTGGGTTGGGTTGGGTTGGGTTGGTAAAAGTGGGTTTTATTCGAAAGTTAAGGATTGGACTTTGAATTCTGGATTTTTTGATTTTTTCGTTGTTAGATTTAAAAATTGCCACGTTGATCTTATAATCATTGAGGTGGATGTTGAAACAATGTTAGTTTGCCATTACACGTCAATTGGAATTAGGCTATATTAATTTGGTCCTAGTTTGTTTTAAGATATATGCAAGTATTATTGTTCAAGTACTGTAAAACTAATTATTTGATATTCAAGTTTTTCAAGCAACCATGAGCGATGAAGGAGAAAAGACTTGCCCCCTCTGCGCTGAGGAGATGGATTTGACTGATCAGCAATTGAAGCCTTGCAAGTGTGGCTATGATGTAATTACTTCTTCTCTTTTGTCATATTTTACTGCCTTAAATTACCAAAAACTCAATGTTTCTGGAAGAATCTACAACTGCCCACTGTGCCCCATTTTGGAATTGTATATAATTCAACATCCTATGCCAATAGCACAAAAAGTCTAATGGTAATCACATTAAAATTGTGAACCTGGGATTAGTATATCCTAGGTTCAAGTCCCATTAGCATATGTTCAATTTGTTACCTGGAGACAAATAAGGACACAACAAGAAGATAGAGAGCCGTATTGTTGTTTTTAGGACTTATTCGTGTCAGACAACCGTCATTTTTTTATGCATCATTTCTATGCTTCGTAGCTTCAGATTTTACACCGTCTGATTTCAGCATAACAGAGACTTTATGCCATCTAAATAGGATAAGAATGGAAGCTCTTTGGTATCATCTTTAATATATCAAAATGAATGTTGAAGCTTTAATGAAGTTGGTTATGCCTGAAAAGGCCTAAACATAATGAACTTTTTTTAACGTCATGACACGAACTACTTCTAAGTACATATAGACGTGCTATGAACAATAGCTTTCTTATTTTTATCTCCTGTTTCTTTGACCTAGTGAATGGAGAATAGGCTGATGTTGTCTAGTTCTAAATCCAGCGACAAGAAATGCCCCAGTAAAAGTTGCTAGTATAGGTTACGGTTCTCTATTTGTGCACCCATGTGCATGCTTTAATGTGATAT